CTGCTCCTTGATGTATTCCAGATGGAACAAGGATAAAGGCAAACACAAAAATCAACAACTCAAAGAATGACCATGAGAGCTACAAAACACCAGACAGGGGAATCCTGTATGAATGCTCGTCATGTCCTATATCTGAAAATCTGGTTAATGTGGTTTTCCTTCGCTAGCGGTGACAAACTGTAAAATCTGCTGTTAAATCAATCTTTTTCTTTACGTGTGTGTTTGTTGATGGATTGCCTGTGCTCTCAAAGTCCTGTAACAACTGCTGCACTGTATGTTTACAAATGGCCAAACCTGCGGCCTCAAGCTACATGTAGTTTTAAGGTTGACAACTAATCAAGACAATAGGCAGGAGCTGGGGCTTGAACCTGACCAAGTGTGTAGGAGAAGAGCAGCACTAGAAATCCAATTCCAGCCTCAGGTGAAAAGTTGCTTGTTGTCAGCTGAGTTGGTTCTCGATATTTGTTCCATCTCAGAGTTTAGTATGACCAGGTTTACTGTAGGCGGCTCAAGGAATTCATCCACTTCAGTTGTAAAATAAAAGCTTTTAAACATTTTCACAACTTGAGGCAAAACTCGTCTTACCTGGATCATAGGTTCAGTGAGCTGCTCTTCATCCACCTCCACTATCATGCATCGGATCTCCTGATAAGGCATACGGAAAGAACCCAGGAAGATGGCTGGAAGAGAGGAAAATAAAAACTGTGGTACATAAAAAGAAATGTAACAATAGTGCATTGTTTTTAACAATGGGTCATTAAAAGAAGTTTAAACAAGTGGTATGCTGATGTCCCCCGTCACTGGGGTATTTAAATGGTAATTGTAGTTTTTGAGATGAGTATTTTTCTGGACTGGAAGTGAACAGAATCAAGTTGTGTGAGAGAAGCGGAGCGCTAAGTCTGTAGGTTTAGCTAGCACACCTGTATTGCGTGCTGCTAGCTTAGCACTGCGTTAGTGCCAGCAGTTGTAAATGGGGGGTGGCGTTGAAGCTGTGGGTGAAAGATACTTTGGTAGGCAGGGCGCTTGCTTCTGTTGACAGGGCGGGGCACCCGCTTTGGATAACGGTAGGGGAAACACTGCAGTGTTAGTAACATTATCTTTCTCGTCCTCAATGAAATGCATTTTTTCTTCTGAAATCTTCTTTGCAAAGAAAAAAAAACAACGCTGCTGTGGTCAATACTAATTGGGCCTTCACCATACATGTCTGACTGTTTAAGCAATTAACAGAGCCGGGCGTTTCTTTGTTTAAATTATGTTTTTTAAACACACTTGATAACTTTATGATGAATAGTGGAAGATAGAAAATGTGAACGCACGTTAGGAAGACTTTCAAGACTTCAAATGTTTTGTTTTTTTTTCTCTTTCTGTGCTCTCGGTGAAGGCAGACACGTCGTCCTTTGCTCCGTCCCCCCGCTTCCCTGCTTTGCTCTCTTGTCTTGTGAAACCTTTATTGAGCCTTTTTTTTTTTTTTGCATACCTTCCTAATTCGATGGATTTGACCAGCTGGTCTCTCAACC